CAGGGCACACTGCTGGCTCATGGTCAACCTGTCACCCACCAGGACACCCAGGTCCCTCTCCGCAGAGCTGCTCTCCAGCAGGTCCGCCCCAAGCCTGACCCCTGGAAGATGTCAGTCTTTCCCATTCTTAAAAATTTGCCATGACAGAAATACTTTTGCATTTTATCACATAGTCCAATCCTGCTTCTCTACAATGTCCACTAAAAGACTGAAGTCACATTATATCTTTTGCTTCCATTTTCTCGATCTAGCTGACGCCCAGTCAAAGGAGGATGGAGGCAAAAGGGCCCAATCTCCTCTTAAGATTATTTTGCCAGTAATGTCCCAACAAGTACCATATCAAACATATACACTCCCACTACTTAAAATGGGAATGTCTCACACTGGGGATGAAAAAGGCAGCAGACATAAGAGAAAGGTGGCCTCCAGGCACACTGATGTAAAAAAAGAACTAAGTGGTGATTAGAAATGGGAAATCATTCCTCATTTCTAAAACAGCCAGGATTAAATATCAATGTTTCAGCTGTAATGATGGAAGATTTTACATTCAGATGTTGACCATAAATTCTTCCTTTCTTAACCAAAATAAAGGCAGCATACTAACCCCAAAGATAAACAGAAACCAGCCCTCTTCCTCTGCCAGCCACGTATAACCAAATGGCATGACTTACTATTTGTAAGAAAGGAGAAGCTTTAGATAAGAGTTTTTTATGTTTATGAATATTTCTATTTTACTCTATGCAAATAAAGAATTTTTACACTGTAACTAAAAACATTTAAGAATGTTTTTTGTCTAAGAAGAATTTCATTTATGCCAAGATAAATTCAGTGTGGTTTTTTTCCCTAGCATCACACAAGCTTGTAAAAAAAAACCCCATCTAGGCCAGCATTCTTTCTCTGACCATTGCCCAGCATCAAGTGGAAGACAATAGGAATATGAGAAATAAATAACCATTTGTGGCCCATAAACCTCTCTCTGCACCGGTTTCCAAACACTTAGCAACCCGTAATGGATTTCTCTTCCCATCACCTTCCCATAAGCCCAACAGCATTCACGGCACCCTCTGGAAAGCGGTCCACAATTTTACTGTAATTGCCTTTGTCTATCTTCTTGAAACATATTATAATCTACTGTAGTCCTTTGTACCCATACACTCTGCAAATTCAGGTAGAAGGCAGTCATGGTTTACTGTTTATTTTTCAACACTGGATACTATTTGCACGCTATTCCATTAACCAGATATTGATAAGCAATAAGTAAACATGAGTACCTTTTGGCACAGGATGTGGAGCAGAATCTTTTTGACCGTAGAAACTTATTAGGATATCCCATTTTCCCACAAAATTCACACTTCAGAAGATCACTTTCAATTTCATCCAGTCCCTCTAAAGAAAGGAGTAAGGCATAAATAAGTCAGTTTCAATGACACAAAATTATGTTCACATTTCTCATCTCAAGCAGGCAGGTAGAAGATTTTCAAATATCTAACAGATTTAATGAAATACTTTGATTAACAGAAAATTACGCAAAGCTAAGCAAGTCACAGATTTCACTCTGTACAGACAAGATATTGAGCAAACTGAACCTTACTGAACCTTCAGTTAAGTTATTCAACGAACTTAATCTTCTTTCTTGTTAAACTTCAAGTCATACATGAGCAAGTATGCCCTCAAACATAGCGAACAATTAAAAAAAAGTGTTACCGTCTTCATAAATTGCTTGAAGAGTTCATTAAGAGAATCATGCATTCCATGGCCTAAATTTAAGCTCTCTTGTAATGACATAATGCATTAACCTTTTGAAATACTTTCTTTGAATAACCAATTGCTGCAACTAAACGAGTTTGTGAAAGCAAGTAAAACATTGAGTCTTATCTATGAAAAAGATAAGCTGCATATAAGAAAGGGATTATAGCATCTACCAATTGTACAATCTACTGTTACAGAATATTTTCCTATTATTGGTGAGTTGAGGAGGCACTTTTCCTGCTTCTCGTGAAGAACGTGAACATCAGCTGAGAGAAGAATCAGCAAAAGTAGAAAAGCCCAAAAGAAGGCAGTACAAGGCAGCATACATGTCACATGCCAAATGTCTATGGTCTCTTCTGCTGCAACTGTATTTCATGGGTAGAGCATGGTTTGTACATAGTTATATGTACATATATGTACATTAAGAATAATGCCACCACATCCGCAAACCAACTTGACCACCTTATCCCCATGCACCATCTGTGAGATACATCATAAGGAGCGAAGGAGTGAAAGTGGCACAAACTGAAACGTAACATTTTGTGGCCATTCCGGTTAAGTAGAAGAACTGCATGCCACATGGCTGCAATCATGGACAAAATACATTGCTCAAAAACTCAAGAGGACTAAACAAATATACATTTCTCCCACATTTCTAATTCACCCGAGTCACTGAAATCTGAGAAACAACATACTGTTAATACTGAAAAGTTCTTAGGGAATGCTATTGAAAAGAAAACTGAATGAAGATCTACTGTAACAAATTCAGGGCAAAATAACTATTGCAAACAGAGCTTCGAATATTCTAGAAGATACATCAGACAAAGTTTTTGTTTGAAATATATTGGGTGAAACAAGGTATTAAAAAAAAAAGCTGTACTCTTCCATCAAGGAAGAAAGTTTCTTTTATAGCAATTTACTAAGCACAGTCATGAGCTAAGAGATTTACAAGTCTCATTTTGTGTTTAGAAAAGTAGTGTAACTCCACTGAGCTGTAAAATAACCAAAAAAATGTCAAACAAGTCACACAATTTACCAGATGACTTTTTTAAAGCATCTTGTGCTTGATGCTTTCATGTCAATGGACCTCCCTCTCAAAGAACTGGTTAAATAGAAGCCCTCACTTGCAGACGATACCAAAGATATAACAGCAATTTTAAATTAAATGAAACAAAAGTTTAGAAAACTTCCAGTCACACTGCAATCCTCCATGAATATGCCAGATGCTCACCTTCTAAAATTTAGTCTGCCATGCCTATGTGAACGTTTGTGAAGAATAAGATATGGGCCTTAAATTATTTTGCAGTAGAATATGGCATAATATGTTTTGAAAAAAAGGACTCTGTAAAAATTGTGTCTTCATTTTTCTATGTAGATAACTTAATTACAACGTTATCAAAAGAAAGTTACAGTTGCAAAGCAAAGCACTTCAAATATCTGCCACTGCCTAAACTAGGCTATGACTGCAAAACAAAGAAGGGCTCTGGACTATACTGAGATACACTAGCAAATGCAATCAACCGTAATTCAGGAAATCCTGTTTTGTGTTTAATTTTCAGGCACTGTTTCCACAGTTTCTGACTTCTTTGCACAGATTTTATAGCATGTACGAGGACTGCAAATCAATATTTCCCTTCAGTGATGTGCTAAACCAGCTTCTACCAAAAATCAGTGCTACAACTAAAAATAAACCTCTTTTAAGCAGAGATACATATTGTCTGAGTGGTAAATTGGCCTTAAGCAAAAATTTCAACCATGTTTATTTGACTTTACTACCAACAACTTGAATTCAGAATGCTTTCTAAAGCAAGCTTTTTACCTTGTCTGCAATCCTTGACCTGGGTCTGATTCAATACTCTTGTAAGCAGTAATGGACGTAAATCATTGCTGTAAAAAATAATGCATCAGAATCTAACAATCTAAAAGATTGACTTTTGAGCTCATTTGTTTGCCGAGATACACAATGGATGCAGTCAACTTCCCTACTGCACTTCGGTATCATTCACCAAGGCAGAAGAAACCACAGTAGCTAACTGACCGCCATTGGTGTTGCTGTATCGAAAGTCCCTGTGAGAAAAGATCAGGAGGGTGGACGGTTTTAAGTAAGTGACATTTTACAATATCTGCAGCGCATAGTTGCAGCACAGCTATGGTGACACTTGCTACTGCTCAGGACATGTTGTCCTGACTTCTTCCAGCCACTTTCTCGATGCAGACCTGTGGCAGTAGCAGGCACTGTATTTGTCCCTTCTTACCCCATTCACTACAGTTTTGATATGACAGCAGGAAAAGAACTAGTTTAAAAGAATGAAACTAAGAGTTGCATTAAGACAAATTTAAACAGATAACCAAAACCAGCTCCTGTGCAACTGCTCAAGTTGTGGAAGAGAAAATCCAGAGGTGGCTGAAAAATTCTGGACTTTCAAATCTTGGATGAATTTATACAAAAATATGAGTTACAGAATAACTTGGCTTTTCTGGGCCATGTCATGGTTTAATTTCCATTTCATAACGCTCATGAGGCTGCCTACATTTGGGCTTGAACAGTAATGGTGGCGTAACACACCTAAAACAGTTGATTGCTGAGTTATAAAAAATCCGTGATGATGATTATGTCAGATACAGCATGGGGAACTCTACTGCTGTTTTTAGCTCATGAGTTGTGCTGGAGACCACTGCATTCTAAGCAGGACAAGTGCCTAGTTTCTTGACATTTCTGTGCACTTACAGCAACTGCTACTACAATGTGTAGCTAGTGAAAAACATTTGAAAATAGTTTCTGTTAGAGATAGTGTAAAGACTGGAGAAAGATTCCAGAAGAACAGACGGGATGGGATTCTGTAATACATACAGAACTGAAGGGAAAAAAATGGATATTGAAACAAGAACTACAAACCTTCTGCAATCATATCCTCTATCTCTGTGTCCGATGAGTTGTCTGCATGTTTTGTATTCTGCAAGTCTGATTCAACACACACAACACTCATGATCTGACCCTCCACTAGCAATCTTTTCTCTGCAGGCTGTTCTACCAGCAAAGATGAACGACTTACCTATTGCAATAAAAGCAAAGGAACAGTGATTAACCAAACAATGAATAACTGAAAACAGTATTTGTGACTTAGCAGTTGTAACAGACTAGAACGACAGTTTCTACTCCATATGAATGAGTTATTACTATATAATGCCAAACCTCTAAATACCATTTCTCAAACAAATACAAGGACTCACTCCTGCTCTGCAGAGTTTGCAATTACATTTAACAAAGGAAGAAACACATTATAACTAGAGAAATGAAGGAATGGGAAAACAAGAGACACATTAAATTAGTTAATAAGGCAGGCTCACAGGTTTTAAATTGTCTATTTGTGGACCTAAAATTTTCAACAGTAATTCTTACCAGACACAGTACTAAACACACCGAGCTCAGTAAAGTGCTTGCCAATGCTTTAAACAACAAAATTTTAACATTTTACAATTTCAACACAGACTCCTCTCAGAGGTTTACATTAAGGTATCACTTAAAATGAGGTATCTAGGTGACAGACAAATGTAAAACAAAGATATTACATATGGCCCCAGGAGGTTCCTACAGAGCATCGATGATAACTTTCTGATGCAAGTGGTGGAGGAACCAACAAGGAAAGGCGCGCTGCTGGACCTCGTGTTAACAAACAAGGAGGGACTGGTGGAGGATGTGAAGGTCGGAGGTAGACTCGGCTGCAGTGACCATGAAATGGTCGAGTTCAGGATCCTGCGTGGAGGAAGCAGGGCGATAAGCAGGATCAAAACCCTGGACCTCAGGAGGGCTGACTTTGCCCTCTTCAAGGACCTACTGGGAGGAATCCCGTGGGCCAGGGCTCTCGAAGGCAGGGGGGTCCATGAGTGCTGGTCGCTCTTTAAACAACACTTCTTCCATGCACAGGAGCAATGCATCCCCCTGAAAAAGAAATCGAGCAAAGGAGGCAGGAGACCTGCATGGTTAAACAAGGAGCTTCTAGCGGAGATCAGGCAGAAGAGAAAGGTCCATGGAATGTGGAAAGAGGGGCAGGCCACTTGGGAAGAGTACAGAAACGTAGTGAGAGCATGCAGGGATGCGACGAGGAAGGCCAAGGCTCACCTGGAATTGAAGCTGGCAAGGGATGTCAAAAACAACAAGAAGGGCTTCTTCAACTACATCAGCAGCAAAAGGAAGGCTAGGGACAACGTGGGGCCGCTGCTGAATGAGGAGGGTGTCCTGGTGACGGAGGATACAGAGAAGGCAGAGCTAATGAATGCCACCTTTGCTTCAGTCTTCAGTGCTAAGACTGGCCCTCAGGAATCCCAGGCCCCAGAGG